GACATCCAGGACGCTCAGTCATCCAGACACTGAGTTGCTGTGATTCAGCAAAGACTTGGAAAAAAGACAAAATTACCTCAAGATTAGCCCAAGGTGCCCAAGAAAGAATGGGTGCCACCGAAGGCAGAACGAGAGGCCGTGCAAAGGTGAGCGGCCAAGAGAACAGCAAGATAGCCACGAGGTCCAGAGAGAACGGACACGTGTGCATGCACTCTTGTGACAGGCACACCACGAAACCCCACGGTGAAATCTCAACAGCAGAAGCTGGTCATCACACCACACCACACCACGAGAGCGCGGGTCACACTGAGAAGCCAGACTCCTACTTGTGGGCCCAGAGAGGCGGCCATTCGAGCACCTGTTGCCGACAGTAACCGAATGCGAATGTGAGCCCACCTTCCTTACAGATGAAGCTGTGCACGTGTGTGCACGCAATTGATACTGGTCGGATTACTCTAAAGGCACACAGAGATAAAGGAGCCCTACAAGGCGTCCTGTGTGAAAAAGCAAATACCCCCCTGGTTTCTTTCATATGCAGCCAGTCTCCTACCTATTTAGTGTGAAGGGCCTGCTTAGGGAACCTGGGTGATTGGGATTGTAAAGGGTTTTCTCCATTGAAAATATACCTCAGGGGACCAGCAGTTGGCATAAAGGTTATGTCGCTGAACTCCCATGTAGTCAACCACGGTTCGAGTCCCAAACCCGGTGACTTAAATTCACACTGGGTGCATGTGCGTGCATGCCCAAGATCCCTAGAGGAGAATGGAAGAGAGGGGATTGCGGCATGGCCAACCCCCCCGGGGGAGGGAGGTGATTTTTCGCTTTCTGTCTGTCTCTTTCTTTCTGGCAAGCGCACGCGCCCTATAGCAAAACCTCTCCAAAAAAAAAAAAAAAATCACGAAGATATACCTCAGCTGTGATTCTTCAAAAAGCAGCGATGTCAAGGGGTTTACAAAAGCGAGTCATAATGGCACCTGAGAAAAGCCTGCTCTGTCACTCAGCACCAAGAACCTAAAAGGCACTTGTGGGCTCCAGACTTTAGGGTGGGAGCAGGTGGGGTGGTTTATGTCCTAGGCAGCTTCCGGCCTGAGCTGAACTGGAGCAAGCACACCCATGAGCCTACTCCCAGCCCGAGCTCTGATCCCAACGCAGCAGAAAAGCGCAGTCTTCCTGTAGAGCAGGATTGCTTTGCTGTGTCTGGGTTCTGGTTTCTTCCTCACCCTAGAGGACGGTCTGTTAAGTGTCCAGTGAGAGTGCGGAGGAAGACGGGGTGCCCTGCGGGGCAGTTGGGCATCTGAACAAGCACAGTCTGGGCCTGCTGTGTCACCTCTAAGACCTAGGGATCCTGGGGGGCCAGCAGGTGGCGTGGTGAAAGCGTTGGACACTCCCACATGGCCGACCATGGTGTGAGTCCCGGACCTGATGACTTGCTTTCTCGCTTTCCCTCTCTGTCTCTGTGTCTCTCCTTGGTCAAATTAAAATAAATGAATACATTTTAAAAATTAAAAAAAAAAAAAGCCCTGGAGATCCTGACCTACCCTTTCGTTTCTATGGGACAGATGGCAATTCGTGTTCTAGCTGTTGCAAGTGTCTCTCTTACCTACTGAAAGCATTTGGCTTGACTCAACCCCCCATTTTCATAGAAATGTTAATTGCCAAGAGCGCCACCTAGAGTTCAGTATACAGGAGGGCGAGGCTTGGCTTGGGCACCAACGGGGAAGTCTTTCTCAGCACTGCTTGCTGTATGTCATTGCAGACCTTAACCGGGTGCCAGGTCGCATCAGGAGACCCTGAAATACTTTTTCATTTCAGAAGATGCATGATGAAATCACGGAATCATATCATTTTTAACACTCTAATGAAATATTACAAAAAGCTAAACACCAGAGCTAATCTCCACATCACATCCTTTTCTAATTTCAATTCCCTATCACTTTAGTTTATAATGATCAATTTGGAGTCACTTTGGTGGATATGCTGACAGCAGTCGCACCCAATTGCTACAAAGGCAACAGTCGGAAGGACAAGAACATGAGACAAGGAAGCCGCTGGCCACTCAGTAAGTACCAGGATGAACCGCAGAAAGAGCTAAGACCTTGGGCCAGACGGTGGTGTGGTGGTTAAGACAGCTGGATCCCACATGACCGATTGCATGGTTCAAGTCCCGGACCTAACGGCTTGATAAACAAGCACTGTGTGCTTGCGTGCCCCAAATCCCGAGAGAATGGAGGAGGGATTGCAGCGTGGCTATCCTCAGTGGGATGTGTTCTCTCTCATCTCCAGCAAGCACACACACCCTATAAAACAAACAAACAAAACAATAAAGACCACATGTGCTATTATAAACACACTGAATACTAGTTTTCCAGGAAATTAAATCAGTTTTACTTTGATTTTTTAAAAAAGATTTTATTTTTATTTTTAAATTTGCCACAGGGTATGAGCACTCAATGAGAGAGAGAGAGAAAAGTGAGTTGTGGGACTCGAACTACAAGTTCTGGGTCTCAAACAGTGGTCAGCCATGTGGGAGTCCATGCCATGTGCTGGCCCCAATATTATTTTAAAATGCTACGTTTTTTAAAAAATAGAACCCAGACAACCAGAGCATGTGTTTCCTGACATGGTATATGGCCACCCACTCAGAGATTCCAGGTAGGATGTGCACTTACAACCCACCAGGCAAAATGATGTTCTCCAGTCAGTCTCGACATCGTGTATCACCCTGACTTCCACAGGCACTTGAGGTCCTGAGCAGTGTAAATCTGCACTCCACTGCCCCACAGGCGGGAACAATTGCTCTTTAGAGGTGACCCAGACCTGGGGACCGCCGTCTTGCAGTAATTCACCAAAATGACGAACACAAAGGGAAAGAAGAGAGGCACCCAATATATGTTCTCTAGGCCTAAACATTCTCTAGGCCTTTTAGAAAACATGGAGTGCTTCCTTTGGCAACATACATGTGACTCTACAAGAAAGGTGATATTGTAGACATCAAGGGAATGGGCACTGTTCGAAAAGGAATGCCCCATAAACGTGACCATGGCAAAACTGGAAGAGTCTACAGTGTTACCCAGCACGCTGTTGGCATTGTGAACAAAGTTAAGGGCAAGATTCTTGCCAACAGAATTAATGTGCGAATTGAGCATATGAAGCATTCTAAGAGCAAAGATAGCTTCCTAAAGCGTGTGAAGGAAAATGACCAGAAAAAGAAGGAAGCCAAAGAGAAAGGGACCTGGGTTCAACTGAAGCACCAGCCTGCGCCACCTAGATAAGCCACTCTGGGATCCAATGGAAAGGAGCCTGGGCTTCTCAAACCTATTCCCTATGAGTTCATGGCATGAAGGGTGTTAAAAATAATCTATGGCCTTATAAAAAAAATCGGTGAACTGCATTTACTAGCTCTGCATTATGGCTGAACCAGACTTAACCAGCTCTGTGTTATGGCTGAACCAGTCTTACTAGCTCCGCCATTCAGGCTGAAGCAGACTTAACCAGCTCTGCGTTATGACTGAACCAGACTTACTAGCTCCACCGTTCAGGCTGAACCAGACTTACTAGCCCTGCGTTACGGCTGGACAAGACTTACTGATGCTGCCGTTAAGGCAGGAAGTTGGTAGGCAGGTGCTTAAAAAGGAACAATCTAAACAAAAACAAAGTGGAAAGCTATTTCTCTAACCAAATGACTCAGACTTGGAGGATTAACAAAATTGTTGAGTATGAACTTTCTCAAAAGTTTTTAACACGGGCCAGCAGGTGGCATCATGGTTAAGGTCCTGGACTACCACATGACTGACTGTGGTTTGAGTCTGGGGCCTGGGGACTTGCTTTCTTACTTTCTCTCTCTCTGGTAAAGTGCATGTGGCCTGTAGCAAATTAATAGTAATGATAAATTAATCTTTTTTTTTTTTTACAAAATCCAAAGACATTTAGCTTGTCCTTGACTGGCTTACGAGCTTTCCACCTGAGTCAAGGTGCTTGCCAGGCACAGCACGCTGGAGAACACAAGGCCCTTCGCTCACGACTCCACAGTTCAAGCATACCTATTCCAAACATCTAAACCCCCAAATACTCTCAAACTCAAAACTGAGCACCAACATGACACACCAAGTGGAAAATCCACAGCTGACCTCACGTGACAGGTTGCAGTTGAAACCTTGCAATACGCAAATATTGCATAGACTTACCTTTAGGCTGTGTACACGGTACGTATGAGAGACGAGAGAGTTTGTGTAGACTTGGGTCCCATCCCCAAGACGCCTCATTATGCACATGTGAGTATCCAACAATCCAAACGCATCCCAAATCCAAAACACGTGCGGCCCCAAGCACTTTAGATAAGGGATATTCAACCTGTGCTTAACTAGATCCATCTCATCTTTCCCCTTCTGCCAGCTGCCTCTGATCTTATACTCAGCATGTTTGGAACAGAGTTTACCCAACAGGCTGGTCTACATCCACGCTTCGTGGTCCTCCTCTTTGCAAGGACCTTTCCATGCAGAGAGGGAGGTGGGAGGTGGCCTCAGTCAGCCATGCAAAGAGAGCCAGAGAGGGAGGTGGCCTCAGTCAGCCCAGATTGTGGGCATGTGTGCACGCACCCAGCATGCACAGGGAGGCCCTGGGACGGAACTAGGGACCTTCCCACATAGGTCCAATTGAGTTCCCACTGTGTGCCAGCTGCCCACCCCACCGGTCTTCCTTCCATCAGGCTACCCTGACTCAGATGTCCCCTCCAAGAAACATCCCTCCATGTGCTGTCCTTCCTGTTTCCAGCACCTGGCAGAAACCCGTCAGCTCAGTCACCGGTGTTCAGATGACCTGTCTCACTCCCCAACAAGGCCATGAAGTTCCTTGAGCACACTGACTCTTATTATTTACTTTATACCCCAGGATTCTGTGTGGTTAGGGATCAAGAAAATTTAACCTAATTTGTTAAGCTGATTTAGAGAGAATGATCCCCTGCGGAAGGACAGGTGACTCAACATGACACCATTCCATAGCCATTTATGTATAAATATTTATTAAATACTGTTTATCTTCATGCTTGAAGAAATGTTAAAACTTAAACATCCAGTTGGACAGGCTGAAATGACAGATTGACAAGTGCTTATATGCTGCTGGCCAGATGTAAACGGGCACAAGTCACTAAACCGACATAAATACACCCGCCACCGGCCGGCCCATCCCTGAGTGCAACCGACAGAAGCACGAAGAAGTCATCGGCAGCATGGTTCCCATGGCCCAGGTGAGGTAGCTCTGGTGTCCGTCACCGCCGACATCGTAGGCCCTCCCGCTCTTAGACGTTCCCTGCTGTGGACTGGGCAAAGCCCCCGAAGGCAGCTGCAGGCTTAGCTGCAAGGCTGTGGGTGTTTTCATCTCTTCTCGGGGAAGGGGAGTTACATTTTATGGGCTCCTTTCCCCCTTTTCCTGGCGATCTAATTCCTTTGGCTTTTAGTGAAAAGCAACTAACCAGTCCATTGGAAATATGCTCTCTCTCAATTTATATGCTGAGGCTGGACAAGTCTGAACAGAATGGGAGCATTAAACATCACAGCCTCACTAATGACACTGTGACTTCACTGTTCAGTGTGGATGTCCTCTTTCCAAAACAAGGCTTGTGATCATTTTGTGTGGCGTTTCTGGAAACTTATGCAAATCTTATGTTTTAGTAAAATATGTTTTGTTACTCTAAAAAAGAAAAAAATGGACAAAAAATTCTGGCATATTCATACAAATACTACAGAGCAATGAAAAAGAGTTCCTACTAGACACAGCGACAGACACCTCCTGGTTCACGAAGTCAAGGCCAGTCTACACAAGCCGGACCAAGAGCTCAAAGGCGTGACCTCTGGGACTGCCAGACAGGGGGCCCAGGGAGCATCTGTGGCGGTGGAGAGGCCGACCTGGTCTGGGTGGCGGTCACACAGTGAACTGAGAGAAAGTGTAGCCGGCTGTGCACTCAGTTGTGCTCCTATACGGCAATGAGTAAGAAAAAATGTGTGAACTAAGGTGAGGGGACATGCCAGCACACTGAGGTGGGCCATGAGACAGTGACCCGACAGAAGGGCCCTGCGTCCTCGCTAAATCGAATACGGAAAAGAGCATCGTCCAAAGGGATACTTAGTAAAACGTACAAGTGACATTTCTTAGTGTGACTGCTTCAACTGGCTCGGAGCCGGTTTCCAGGCCATCTTCCTGGCACCAGAGACAACTCTGTTCTGTCCCACCTACCCGTTGGTACTGAGTTTTAACCACTCACTTTACTGAACTGTGACAAAAAGCTAAAGTCCATATACAATCTGGACACAGCGTGACAGTGGCCATTTGTCACTGGTAACACCCCACAACACACTGGTTTTACTGTATCATCCACTTTACCCTGAACCCACTGCCACCCTTCAGTAAAGGTGGGACAGAGCAATAACATTCTTTGAAACATAGAATTATTTCCTAAGATTTTCCCCAAAAATCTCCCCCCAAAATAACAAGCTTTAGTACCTTAAAACAACTAACACTTTAAGCTCCAGGTTGTATTTCTGGTCAATGTGTTTGCCACTGTGAAGATTTTCTCTGAATGAGTTTTAAAATTAATAAAAATATTAGTAAAAAAATATTCAATTTAACCAACTATCTGACAGGATTCCTCATATAAATATTTCAAAGAGTCGAAAAGTAAAAAGATCAAAAGACTGAAAAACCTCCAAAAGCAACAGAATGCGTCTCAGAGCCACACAGGCGTGCGAGCAGCCCCCTTGGCCACCGCGCGTGGCAGCAGACCTGAGCCACTTGGGCTGTACGACCTTGCACGCGTGCGTGTCCACGGAACTCGGCGCCGTGGGGACCCAACTGTAAAGTGCCAGGTCTCGGTATGCACCAGAACCCCCGACGTGGATGGCGCGGTGGGGCACCGGTGGTGGGCGAGCCACGTTCCCGGTCCGAGACTCTCAGCGTGCGACTCTGCCGCCCTCGCCCTCGCCCACGAGGCAGCCGTCCAGGTGCTCGTTGATGCAGCCCTCGTGGACCTCCCGCTGGCACACAGGGCAGCACACCAGCCTGTGGTGGCCGCCGCCGCTGGCACCCGGAGGGCCAGGGTCAGGCCAAGGGCCGCGCTCGGGGTCGCCGCCGCCTGCTGCTGGCTCCTTCTGGATGAAAAAGCGGCCAAGGCCGGCTGTGTCCCCCAGCCTGGCCCGCTTCCGAGGGACTGTATCCCCAGACGCGCTCGCATCCTGGGGTGCGGCCAGAGGCGTCGACTCCACAGCTTTTGAGGAATTTCTTAGGGAGACCTTGGACGCTGTCACCCTCCTCTGAGAACTGGCAGAGACGGCATTTCTGGTGACGTCGCCCATTGGGAGACTTTCTGTTGGAGACCCACTCGCACCTCGGAAGGCCTTCTGGCTGGCCACTGGGACTCTGGGGAAGTAGCTGCTTAGGACACTTTGGTGACCGGTGTTAAGAAAGGGGGAGGCCAGGTGAGGTTTTTTACTCGAAACATTCTGTTCAAATTCCCCTCCAGCTTTGGCACAAGGTCTTCCGGCGGCTGCTGACTGGCGCTCACTTAGGTCCGGGGTTTTGGTGACAGCCCGGGAGGTGACCAGTTTCCCGGAGGAAGGCAGACTGCTCGCTTCTCCGAGAACGTACCCTTTGCCACTAAACGGGATTAAAAGCTGTGCCTCGCCTCTACTGGGTTTATCTGCAAGGGAAGCAAATACAATTTTCCTCAACTAGAAAGTAATACAGAAACAAATATTAAACTAATGGATAGTTTTATCAAAGTGAAGGAATAACACTTTATTCTAACTTAGATCTTTTATACCTAGCTTAGCTTTAACAGGAGGGTAATCTTCGTAAGTCGGAGTTCTGGTATTAAGAGAACATAAAGGATAAAAATTCTCTCGTATGTAGATAAAGAGTCCTATCATTCTGAAGACCAAGAACACAGCAATGTTTACCCTGAAAATTATTAATTTCCTCTGGGTCATTCCAAAAGGAAAAACCTGCTACCTCCTTCCTGTCTGCTCCTGCTCCTGACGAGGACGCCCTGAGCCATCGGCTCCGGGGTGCGACCCCGTCCAGTCCAGCTCCCCAGGGGAACGGCAGGACAGGCACCCCCGCGGTGCCCTGCCGCTCCTCATAGGGCAGGAACCCGCCCTCCACAGGAACAGGGCGCGTCTCGGGCGGAGTACTGGCAGGTCACATCACGTCCCCTCCCACCCTGCTCCCACACCAACGGCGAAGCCACTTGGACGACACCCAGCTGGTAGGAAGGGGTGTAGTTAGGACTCATGTTCCGGGCATTGTTATCCGAATTTCTGTTTTTATTTTGACAATCTTTTTACCTTCTGTTTCCTAATAACACAGTGAGTCAGATAGGGAAACTTTACCTCAAGCATTATCAGTGGAAATGACTTTTTTGTTTTTAAATGTTCCAATAAAACTTTATTTGTGGAAGTTAAAATTTGGATTTCATATACTTTTCACATATCTAAAAATATTACACTTCTTCTTTTTTTTTTTTTTTTGGAGAGGTTTTTGCTACA